ACATATGCACTGTTACGGAAGAAGTTGATTTCTCAAAAAAATGTAATAAAAGTTCTATTGAAATTAAGTTATGAACCTGACTTTTAATAATAAATTGAAAAATAAATATCTGTATTGTTCATCGTCGTGATATCAGAGCACGCATTAATAATTTATTGTAGCAACTGTTGTACCAAACAACTGACGAAAACAAAATATCAGGATTTTTTTGTTTTTTCATACTGATAAAAACATGAAAATAAGGTTTAATCTGTATCGTAGGTGATCTGAATGAAGAACGGTCGATTTTTGTGAAGTTAAATGAGAAAGTATTTTGCGAGTCTATGTTATTTATCAATAAAAGTGGCACATGTGTACACTAATGAGGAGTTAGTGGACATTGTTTTAGCGTAAGGAGAAGCAGGGCGAAATTCGCGAGCTGCCTCTCGTTTGTATGCACACCGATCGCCGAACAGGCACATACCACATCACGAAAAATTTATTTCAATTCATTTACGTGCACGTGCTAGTGGAGATTTGCGCACCAGACGTGGAGTGGACGGGGGTCGGGTTCGGCCACAACGCGTTTCAAATGCCGAAGAAATTTTGGATATTCCTCTGCATTTTCGTTTAGAACTTTTGAATCAGGTATACCAGATACGCTGGATCGGAAGCGGTTGACCAATTGCATGCCCTCCACGGTCTCCCGATCCAGATCCTCTGGACTTCTTTGCATGGGGATACTTCAAAAACGAGGTATACCGTACTCCAGTTCAGAATATTGAAGAATTGCGTGACCGAATCACAGCGACTGCCTATAATTTGAGCCTGAAGGCAGGCACAGCAGGAAGGAGGTGTATTTGAATTAGTGCGCCGAAATTGAATTAGACGCGCCCAAGCTTACACTTCACTCAATGGAAGCAATTTTGAACAGTTTTTACAAGTAAGTGAACTGTTAAACTGTATTATTTTATTATCTCGATTTCTGAAGGACTTTTATGACATTTTTTTTGTGAAATCAACTTTCAAGTTGTGAAACACCCTGTATATAATAATAATAATAATAATCGTCTTTATTTAAACTGTACTTCATACAGAAACAAGAGTTGCATATGGTGGCGAAGTTTAGCAACATGCTACTCTTACACTTAACCACCCATGCAAAAAAAACAAGTTCTTAAGTAGCAGATATCAAACAAAATATACATATATATACGTACATACATACATACATATACACACATTACATACGTACATGTTGCACCAAGCTTTGCTACATGTACACAAGGGAAGTGAAGAATCATTTAACAATATATCTATAGCAATCTAATTAAGACTATGGATCCAAGTAAATATGAGATTTGACAGCTTTCTTGAAGCAATTTAAGGACATGGTTTTGAATTCAGGACTCAAGGCATTGTATAACACTGAAGCCCTGTACGTGAAAGAACGCTGGAATAAAGTTGTGGAGTGAATAGGTGTAGTTATCAAATCTGGAAATCTAATATGTCTATGATGAATATTTCGCCTAAAGATCAGCTTTTCTCTTAAGTATATAGGTTTTGACATAAGTATTAGTTTATGAATAAAAACAAGGTAATGATATTTGACAATATTTTTTGTTATCATCCAGTTTAATTCAATAAGACTACCAGAAACATGGTCAAAGCGCCTTAAACCGCAGATGAACCTAGCACAATTGTTTTGCACAATTTGAATCCGATTTCTAGTAACAACATTGAGACACGGATAATATAAAATATCACAGTAGTTGAAAATCGGCATAACCAAAGATGAACACAGTTTTTTCCTTAGCTTATAATTGAAAATTGCTTTATTGGCATATAATGATCTCAGTCTCAAGTAGGTTTTCTTCAAAAGATTTTTAACATGACTGGTGAATCTAAGTTTGAAATCGATTACCACGCCAAGAATTTTAACCTCGTCAACCGGGTACAGTCTTTGAGATCCAATTTTAATAGTTAATCGACTTTTAATTTCTTCTCTCCTACGATCCGAACAAAAAAATAACAGGCTGGATTTACCAGGATTTATTGACAGGTTGTGGTTATTCGAGAAGTCATACACTTTTTGAATATCATGGTTTATTGATGTCTGTGCCATTTCCATATCATCAGTATCAAAATAATGGACCAGTTGAGTATCATCCGCAAAAGACTGGAGTTCACAAAAACTCACAGCCTTAGGCAGATCAGCAATATATATCAAAAACAACAAGGGACCCAAAACAGACCCCTGGGGTACTCCAGACGAGATTTCTAGAAAACTAGATTTATTGTTTTCAATTGATACACACTGTGATCGATTTGATATATAATTTCGAAAAAAATTCAATGCAATTGGATCTATGCCATAATACTTCAACTTTGCTATTAACAACTCATGATTTATTTTGTCAAATGCCTTGGAATAATCGATTGACATCACTGCTACGCCCATTTTTTTATCAAGTGCTCTAATAATATTATCCACTAAGTTTAAGAGGGAAGTAGTAGTACTGAAAGATTTCCTAAAAGCAGACTGATCAGATGGGATGATATGTTCCTCTGCATAATGCATTAGTTGTATGTGGGCTGCCTTTTCAACTACCTTCGATAAACAAGGCAACAGGCTTATAGGCCTTAGATCAGCAAACTCATCTGGATTTGATCTTTTTTGGAACTGGTACCACAATTGCTCGCTTCCACGTTTCAGGGAAATAACCTCTTTCAAGGCAACTATTAACAAGGTGGGTGATGTAGATGAGAGTAACAGGCAGACTGAGCTTAATCATAGACAAGCTCAACCCATCAGTACCTTATGCATCGGACTTAAAACTAGAAATTATTTCAGCTACTTCATGAGGCTCTAGAAGCCTGAAAGAAAATTTATTAATATGGGGAACATTTTCGTTATAATACCTTAAAACGTGATCAGGAGCATTTGTGGAATCAAAAACTGATATGAAATAATTATTTGCAAGGAAAGAGTCTGCAAGATGGTTTGGAATACGTGGCTTATCAGATGTTTGTGCTTTCATATTTTTCAATTCATACCACAATTTTTTCTGATCACGCCCTTTTTCCAAGTGAGCAAGATACGCCATTTTTTCATGTCTAATGCACGATAGTGCAAGGTTTCTAAGTTCCCTAAAAACCTGCAATCTTGCTGGACTTCTGTCTATCTTGTATAAATAATATGCTCTCGTTTTTTGCTTCAGAAGCTGTCTCAACGGATATGACAACCACGGCGCTTTCGGCTTACTCACGCGTACCGTCCTTATAGGAGAGTGACGATTGAAGATGTCAATTAACTTGCTACTGAAAAATTGAACTTTATCGTCAATATTCCTCATATAACAAATTTCAATAAAATTTACTCTAGCCAGGTCATCAATGAAAGATTGCTCATCAAAGTGTGAGAAATCTCTGAAGGTGATCATTTTTTGTTCATGTTTCACACGGGATATGTTTAAGATACAGCAAACAATTTTATGATCGGACAACAAATTAGCATCTAAAGTAAACCAGTTAGTGACAGTAATTGGGGTATTAATAAAAATAGGGTCCAGAAGAGTAGAAGAGATGCTGTACTATTAGTTACTCTAGTGGGAGCATCAATAATTTGCTTGAAACCATACATATCCAAGCATTGTTGTAAGCTATTATCGGCAAATAAATTTACATTTAAATCACCAAGGATAATAATATTTTTAAAATTACTCAGTACATTAGGCATTATATTGTCTAAGGCATTTGTACAATCAACTAGCCTTTGTGAAGGGGGACGATACAATATACCTACAGCAAAATCATGCTGATCAATCCTTAATTTTACCCATAGCTGCTCTAAAAACGGAACTGTGTTGAGCGTGACGTCATCATCAATAATCTCAGCACGTATGTCTTGTCTAATATAAACACCACAACCACCACCACGAGACAACCTGTCCTTGCGAAAAAAGTTAAAATTTCTGATGTTAACTACATCCATCGTGATATCAGGGCTTAACCATGTTTCCGTTAGAGCAAGAATGTCAAAATCATCCTCATTCATCATGTCCGTAAATGCGTCAAAGCTTGACATCAGAGATCTTATATTTAGGTGACCTATTTTGCACTTCTTCGTAATACTAACAGGTTCCATATGGATTCAGGAGTATTAACAAAAATAATAAAAAGTTAAAAATTAAGGAAATATATGTACAAAAGAAGAGTCGTTCAACTAGAGTTGCTAATCAAAGTTAATTCTATTTTTCAAATTGCGCACATAATTTATATAAGCCGGACAATGAGAATCATTTGCAGCATGATTAACTTGGACGTGTGACTTAGACTTAGAACCATAACTTACACAATTTATACATTTCACCTGGTCACTTGCGACCTCGCACTGATTTGTCATATGATCTCTTGAGCATTTGATGCATGCAGAGGTAGACGATTTGCATTGCTTAGCAATATGCCCGAACTTACAGCATCTGAAGCACTGGGTTATCCGCAGATGATCAACGATAGGACACTTTCTCCAACCCAACCAGACATAGCCTCGTGTTAGAAGCTTCTTGCGTAAATCAGGGGATACTTCCAGAACTATTTGACGAGTTCTTTCAATTTTGGTGATAACTTTTAAATCCGCATGATCATCCATGTCATTCAATCCCACGATGTTCTCAATTAACATCTTGTCATCCTTGATATCATCAGAGAAATTCACATTTTTTACTAGCAGACGGGGGTTGTATTTTTTCAACTCGTTGGCAGTCAAACGGCCATTTAGTTGACCATTGACAGCATTTTTTAGTTTTGCCACATCGTCATATCCCTTGCAGTACACAGCAACCCCTTCTTTAATTTTCTTAGTGCCGCTAATGCATATATTTAAACGAGAAGGAATAATCGTTTTTGACAAGACTTGTAGCACATCATCTCTATTATTCCTATCAGCTGATTTCACTAGTAAAACAGACGATTCTACATTTTACTCATTCTTTACATTTTTCTGTAATACCTGACTATATCTACGTGTTCGTGCTAGCAATATTTTTTACTGGAGCAATAGCACTTTTTGCCTCACTGAGCTCTTTTTGTAACGTATCGGATTTGAATTTATGTAACTCCAAGGAAGACTCGAGTTCGCTAATTAATTTAGCCTGGATATCTTTCTCTCTATTAAGACATTCGATTTCTTTTTGCAGTATCAACATATGCGAATTACTGTCATTATTAACATCCAGCTGCGATTTAGTGACGCTAGAGTTTCCTACTTGTTTGCAGTTATCACAAAACCAGATCAAATTATCAAACTCACACAGATACTTGCAGATTAGATCCTTCAACCCAACACACACAGGATGGAATGATTTCACACACAGCTTGCACTTTATTACTTTGCTGTTAATAATGAAATTATCAGCACATATCGCACATACGTCCACATCGTCTGCCATCTCGACGTGGAATAATATCATTGTTATATCACAGGAGAAACCAGTACATTTAAAAGGAATGCAGTTAGTATCGATATATATATATATATATATAACTTGAGACGTGGTCATTGTCGTCTACACCAGTTAAGTGAAAAATTAAAGCTTCCGCCTTTTGTTGGGTACTTCGACAAAATTAAGCAAAGAGGACTCTTTATACTTTTTTAATTCTCTCTAGCTTTCAATGGACTTTGCCATCATCATCAGGAGCTGCAATTACAATGATAACAGTAGCAACAATAGTGTAAAATGAATTTAAATTGACTTAACTTACAGTAGTATGTGAGGATGTTGCTAATTGTTGTTTACGTTCAGATGATCTGATTTTCAGATCTGAAGTGATTTGGCAACGTTGGCACACGCCCACAATTCGTTCCATCTTTCTACACAGACATTGACAACCTTCGGCCTTCTGTCAAAGGGTTCATCTCACTCATTATTCCATGACCACCATTTTGTGCAATCATCAAGTGGCTTCACGATGTAATGCTTTCATGTTTTTAAAAAAATTGTTATCTGTTTTTAACTTGTTCTTGTCATATTTTATATAATTTTGACCATTGTACCATCTATCCAGCTTTCAACATGTTACTGGACGTTTCCCTCATTCTATACGTAAACAACAATTAGCAACATCCTCACATACTACTGTAAGTTAAGTCAATCTAAATTCATTTTACACTATTGTTGCTACTGTTATCATTGTAATTGCAGCTCCTGATGATGATGGCAAAGTCCATTGAAAGCTAGAGAGAATTAAAAAAGTATAAAGAGTCCTCTTTGCTTAATTTTGTCGAAGTACCCAACAAAAGGCGGAAGCTTTAATTTTTCACCTATATATATATATATATATATATATATATATATATATATATATATATATATATATATATATATATATAATTATTGACCACAGTGCAGTTGTGTGGTGCACATCTTCAATAATTCCCAACAATATTCCACTGTGACAGCCCATGACGCGATGACCCCCATTATATTAATTTTGAATGGCAGTGTTTATGAAGTGTCTCTTCTACACAAATCGTATATGTTTTCGCTGGTTTGAAATATATTTTAGAAAACATCGACTACATTCATCAGATACATTGCTAGAAAGATACCTTCTGATTGGTCCAATTTGGATACAGATCAAGTTTTTTGATCTCCTGTTAGTAAGATTGGGTCTAAAAATCTGTAGAAACGAAAAAAATTCTATCACAAGTCTTGCGCATGTTTCGGCCGATGCAGCCACTCGACTCCCCTTGCGGCTCTACTACTTGTTGTTTTGCAAAGGATGCCATCTAATCAAGATTTTGAAGATTGATCACCCTGTATATGTAAAAAAGGCGCGAACGCTCGGTTAGAGGCAGAACACGGCCGCGCCAGAGCGCCAACAGTCGGACGTCTTGGCGCGCGGCCTGGCGGTATTTTATAATTAATTGGAATTCAGAAATTTGCGTGCGTGCATGTGTGGTGCTTCCTGATCGCTCCGCTGTGCAGGCTGAAAGGGGCCCGAGGGCGAAGCGCCGCGAGCGAAACGCTGGCCAACCGCCACGCCGCCTCTGGCTCCAGCAAAGAAGAGGCAATGGGCGCGCCGACGCCGTCCGCCATGCTTCAGCTCCGATGGAGATGGGCCATCAAGGAAAATATCGAAATCAACAACAAGCTCAGATGTTCACCCTTCATGGCTAGGTTTATATTTTTATTATAAAATTGCTCATTTTATATTTTAGATGTTACTAGTGCTTCCACCAATATTACGCATCCGGTGATCTTGGGCAGTATAAATGGCAACTGTGGATTGATGATGCCCGCCTAATGAAGAGATTCGACTTGTAACTACTCCTTACCTACCGATTCGCCAAATCACACAAATCAGACAGCATTCAGATCGGTAACACCACAGAATACATAAGTCTGAAGAAGTGGGAGCTGCACGTCAAACGATGGCAACAGCGTTGACGTCTGTCAGACGGTTGCGCCGCCTACTTGCTTGGTGACTTGAAGGAGCTATCTCGAATGAATGCCAACAACGGCCCTGAAATAGCAATGCCACGAATGTGCTGGGATTTCGTTTGTTCAAAATCCGAAATCAGCTGAAAATGATATATCCGATTATTTTACGAACGTATATTCATAAAATATCTCCAATAAGGTTAATATGTCTTTCAGCTGTTTTGCTGGGAACAAGTTTCCGAATAATAAAATTTAACACTAATTATTAGAGACAGGATTATATGCATTTGCATATCAGCATATGCATTTGCATATCAAGCCTATTTTTGCTGGTTCTTGCATATTTCAACAAAAATCTAGAGACGTTGCATATTTTTGCTATAATTACAAGTTTTTCGGCATGTTATTTCGATAAAGAATTGAATCTTACATTGCAGCTAGAGCTTTATTAATGGTACTGGTGCCGTTTTGCCAGAGAATAAAAGCTAGCATATCACCCAGATTCATATACTGCCCAGTCACCTCCGTAGACGTGGAGCGGTCTTTTTCGACATAAATACTAATATTTTGAAAGATCGAAGGCGCACCGCTTTGTCTTACCGCTGAACATTTGGAACAAATATACAATATATGTTAAATAGTCGTCACTTACGGATCTTATAGATAAGTCATTCAAGTGCTTAATTATTAATTATTTGTAAGACGATTTTAAAATAAAAAGTATAAAAATCGTTGTTTTATTGTTATTTAATTTTGCATATTTGGATACTTTCATGCATATTTTAACCATTTTTCTTGCATATTTCAAGCTTTTTATGTTGCATATAATCTGGTCTCTACTAATTTTGTTGCATAAAATACATTGAATTGCTTCTTGATGATTCTGAAACAATACAGAAAACACCAATGTAATCTATACAATCTTTGTAAATAAGCTAGATAGGCAGAATCTTGCTTCATAAAACTTACGGCTTTATGACTATACTCTGTTCCATGTAATTTTAAATAATCTGCCAACTACATCTCGCCGATATGTTAAGCTTACAGGCTGCCTGTAGCACTTCATGACAGAGTCTCCTGAACTTTTACATCTACCACAAGACAAGAGTCACAATACATCTCGCGTATACTATCACAGCTACTGATGATGTTGCCTTATATTTTATACTTATCTTTAACGAAATATCTCAGAAACCATCAGCTTTGAGAATCTGGATGTTAACCAAAACAAACGCCACATTTGAAACAGTTACATTTAGTCAAAGCTAGAGAATCCCGGTAAGCATCACGTGATTCGATGCCGGTAATTCGGTTTCCATGATGTTGCGTATAGAGGATGACCTTGGCGTTGTCCGTAAGACGTTTCACCCACCTGGGTGAAACCATTGATTAAGGTATCCTTACCAACAGGTGACAGTCAGCCGGTCCTGCCATTTACACTCCCTATGATGTGCCAGCTTTAAAATACTAATAAATGCTTCTGCTAGCTAGTGAGAGCAATGATAGTATTGTTAGCTTCAAATAAGTGAGCATCAGCTGAAACGTAATATTATTTGAAGTAATTTAGCAAAGCAACCTTTGTTGCACCTGATACAAAGTCCCACCTCGCAAGTCTCTAGAGGTTGGGTCTGATTATATCTGCTGTCGCTACCTTACCTATTTTGTTGCCTATCTTTTCATTGCTGTCTGGGAGCCTAAATTTATAGGTAACCAGTAGTTATCGTGGTACCTTCAAGAGCCAAGTAAATTGAATATGGATCGGTGGTGTTCCCAGAAGACCAGTATGGCGCAAAGGGTTAATCAGAGAAAAATATGATATATCTCCTTTTGAAGCTGTTATTGAGATGACCTCCAGTTGTTCTCATAGGGGGAAACTAACACTGGATTTGAAATCATCGACCCAGAAAACCTTACCGAATATTGTATAAATGTCATAGCAATGTTTTGTCAACTTTTCGGTGTTACGTTCGACTTGGAACAGTACACACACGTTTTATATTCCATGCAAACAACACTGAATTGACTTTAATGAAAGCACTTCGATGCGAGCGGTGCTGACCTGTAGAGGGAATACCCCATCACTAACACGAAATAATTGATAATTAAAGTGGAGCCACAAGACTTAATAATTTCCACTCGGCATCAGAGCGTGCTGGTACAGTAGTTTTCAAATGGTGATGATAGCTATGATTTATGGTCCTATCACTAATTCTATTCTATTTTTCGTTTTTATTTATTGTAACTTTTAGTTAATCTACTGCTGGTCTTAGTTCCTGAACGATAGCATAGATGTGAGGGAGCTCATCTTAAGAATTAGCGTAAACTGATGTGGTCGAGCCAAATGTCAATCATTTCCAAAAAAGCTTATCGGATGGTACCTACCTGAAAAAAGGGTGAGTTTTTAGTACATCATAGGTCGATAGCTCCGTTTTTATGAGGAATCCCTAAAAAAGTTATTCACAAAAATTATATGGTAGTATAATCCAAATACCCCAGATTTGCGAAATAATTGTAAAGTCTGGTTTTATTGCTAAAAGTTGTTCAAGGGGATATTCAAAACATGGACGCATAAAATGGGTATATCAATGTTTGTGAGAAAACTTTTTACTCGACAACATTGAATGAAACAACGTGTTTTTTAGAATTCATTCGAAAGTATTGACAGGAAAGAAAAAACCTTCATATAAGATTTTTAGGTATTTATGAGACATACAATATGAGACCACACCCAAAAAGATCCGGCTAATAGCAAAAAAGTTATGGCCGAAAACCGAGGTCAACTGCAGGTTTTGGCACTTGGTAATACGACGATGGCTTCTCGCAGATTTTGAAATTCTTCAAATTCGTAGGACCCGTTCTTCCAAATAACCACATCAAAATTGGAGTAGACTGATTAAGTAGTTTTTGGGAATTTCTAATTGTTTATCCCAAAACACCTGTTTTTGGCCATCACTGCTAGTTTATTGAGCAATATACAGAGTTAGTTGAAAGGGCATTTTATCGCA